ACAGAATCGTTACTTAGGGACACAGAACCGTTACTTAGGGACACAGAACCGTTACTTAGAGACACAGAACCGTTACTTAGGGACACAGAACCGTTACTTAGGGACACACAATCGTTACTTAGGGACACAGAACCGTTACTTAGGGACACAGAACCGTTACTTAGAGACACAGAACCGTTACTTAGGGACACAGAACCGTTACTTAGGGACACACAATCGTTACTTAGGGACACAGAACCGTTACTTAGGGACACAGAACCGTTACTTAGAGACACAGAACCGTTACTTAGAGACACAGAACCGTTACTTAGGGACACAGAACCGTTACTTAGGGACACAGAACCGTTACTTAGGGACACAGAATTGTTACTCAGGGACAGACACAGAATTGTTACTCAGGGACAGACACAGAATTGTTACTCAGGGACAGACACAGAATTGTTACTGAGGGACACAGAATTGTTACTGAGGGACACAGAATTGTTACTGAGGGACACAGAATTGTTACTGAGGGGACAGACACAGAATTGTTACTGAGGGACAGACACAGAATTGTTACTGAGGGACAGACACAGAATTGTTACTGAGGGACAGACACAGAATTGTTACTGAGGGACACAGAATTGTTACTGAGGGACACAGAATTGTTACTGAGGGACACAGAATTGTTACTGAGGGACAGACACAGAATTGTTACTGAGGGACAGACACAGAATTGTTACTGAGGGACAGACACAGAATTGTTACTGAGGGACAGACACAGAATTGTTACTGAGGGACACAGAATTGTTACTGAGGGACACAGAATTGTTACTGAGGGACACAGAATTGTTACTGAGGGACACAGAATTGTTACTCAGGGACACAGAATTGTTACTCAGGGACACAGAATTGTTACTGAGGGACAGACACAGAATTGTTACTGAGGGACACAGAATTGTTACTGAGGGACACAGAATTGTTACTGAGGGACACAGAATTGTTACTGAGGGACAGACACAGAATTGTTACTGAGGGACACAGAATTGTTACTGAGGGACACAGAATTGTTACTGAGGGACACAGAATTGTTACTGAGGGACAGACACAGAATTGTTACTGAGGGACAGACACAGAATTGTTACTGAGGGGACAGACACAGAATTGTTACTGAGGGACACAGAATTGTTACTGAGGGACAGACACAGAATTGTTACTCAGGGACACAGAATTGTTACTGAGGGACACAGAATTTGTTACTGAGGGACAGACACAGAATTGTTACTGAGGGACACAGAATTGTTACTGAGGGACACAGAATTGTTACTGAGGGACACAGAATCGTTGAATTAAAGAGTGTGTCAGAGAACATGCAGAGGAGTGGCAGAGGAGGCAATGTTTTAGGAGAGAGCTGACGTGGCAGCAGAGGAAGGGGTCGAGGCAGCACTAGTCGCAGCCAGAGGCCAGTGCTCCCGGTGTCATCCAGCGGTCGTGTCTCCACCGACAACCCTGCCGTCATCGATTGGTTGGCTCGGTCGTCTTCCTCTTCCCAGGTCACCTCTGACACCTACAGCCAACGGTCGGTGGGTACGTCAGACACAACCGTTAGTTGGCATGGCCCGGGAGCAAGCCCACTGAAATCACGTGTCCTCTACCTGCCCCTGTCCTTTGGTGTTCCCTCACCAAGCGAAGTATCGCATGCTGTGGGCTCAGCCCCACTGTACAGTAGGAGAAAAGAGCTAACAGAGGGCGGTCAGGAACGGGGGGAGACATCCGCCTCTTCAGCAGCCAGGCGAAGAAGTACTGGCGAGGAGAGTGGCTCGGGTAGCCGGTCTAGAGACAGGTCTGTCTCCTGACCCACACGCAGCCGAGGGGGCTAGTAGTGAGGCGGAGACCCTAATTGATGATGATGAGGCTGATCGCACTTGGCAGCCTCGTCGTCATCAGGCTATTGCTTCCGCATCATCAGGAGAAGAGGGTGGCAGCTTGGCAGCGAGCAAAAGAGTCGGTGGGTTGCCCAGGAGGCAGCAGGGTCGCAGCAGTGTCAGTGGAGGCAAACGGCCACGGAGTAGAGCACCAGCTCCACTGCAGCCTACCACCACGGCCAGTAGTGGTGCGGTGTGCACGGAGGAAGTAGCAGTCAGCCAGTGATGAGTAGCGGGGGCAAAGTTTCCTACTCGGCGGTGTGGCAATTTTTCGTCAAGCCGCCCGAGGAAGTAAACGTAGCCGTATGTCGACTATGTGGCCAGAAAGTCAAGCGTGGCCAGGGGGCCCATGTTGGGACTACAGCATTGCGGCAGCATATGCAGCGTCGCCATTTGGTGGCCTGGGAAAAACCGTGATAAAGATACGGCGGTTCTGCCTGCCCCAGCCCCCGCTCCATCACCCACTCCGTTACTTGCTCCGTCACCCGACGTCAATCGCCCTCTATCAGCCAGTCAAGGCTCCAACACCTCTGCTGAGGGGAGTTGTCGCTCGTTGGCATCTTCCGCTCGTTCAGATGCTCCTTCTCCTGCTACTCCTCTTCACGGATTCCGTCAGCAGTCTTTCTTGGAATCCGTTTCCAAGAGACAACAGTTTGCGAGCACGCACCCGATGGTGCAGAAGCTGAACGTCCTACTGTCCAAGTTGCTGGTGCTGCAGTCCCTCCCTTTCCAAGTGGTGGACTCAGCACCTTTCCGAGAAATGATGGCTTATGCCGCGCCGCGGTGGAGAGTGCCAAGCTGGCATTTCTTCGCCAAAAAAGGCAGTGCCAGCCCTGCATTCACATGTAGAAGAGATGGTGGGCCAGTCTTTGAGCATGTCGGTCTCTGCCAAAGTGCACGGCAGCGCCGACGTGTGGAGCTGTAACTACGGTCAGGGACAGTACATGTCATTTACAGCCCACTGGGTGAACGTGGTGCCGGCACAGCCGCACCAGCAACTTGGACAGGTCACGCCGCTTTTGCCTCCACGTTTGCACGTCCTTGGTCCGGCAAAGATGTCCGCCTCTACCACCTCTTCTTCCGCCGTGTCCTCAGCCGCCACCCCGTGCCAAGTCCCATTACCCGACCGGCATATCACATGTGCAGGGCGCAACGGTGTCACGCTGTGCTGCACCTGGTATGCCTTGGCGAACGTAGTCACACAGGGGAGGAACTTCTCAGTGTAATGAACAGAGAAATCGACAGATGGCTGTCTCCGCGCAAACTGAAAATCGGAACCATGTTGACCGACAACGGAAAGAACATGGTGTCTGCTCTGCGTCAAGGAAGGTTGTGCCATGCGCCATGCATGGCTCACGTGTTCAATCTGGTTGTCAAGCGGTTCCTAAAATCCACCATCCCACTGCAAGACATCCTTAAAATGTCACGTAAACTTTGCATGCATTTCAGCCATTCCTACACCGCAAAGCACACCCTCCTTGAGCTGCAGCGGCAGAACGGAATTCCACAGCATCGCCTGATCTGCGACGTTGCAACAAGGTGGAATTCAACCCTACACATGTTAGACCGCCTTTACGAACAGCGAAAGGCCATCACCGATTTCCTGATGTTACAAGCGGATAAAGGTACTCCCCTGTGTAACTTCGATGTCAGCCATTGGCAGCTCATGCGTGACACCTGCGCTTGCTCAGGCCCTTTGAGGAGGCCACGCTATTCGTGAGTCGGCAGGACTATGGGATGAACGACGTCATTCCTCTGTTGCACGTCCTGGAACAAATGCTGTTAACAATGGCTGGTCAGGGTGCGGTAGACGTGGCGCACAGATCTCAACGCCACATGACCCCTGTGGGGGGCAGGACAGGAAGAAGAGGAGGAGGACATTGGTGCTCAGGAATTATTGAGTGAAATGGGTGTGGTTTTTCACTCAGCGGACAGGAGTGGAGGAGCAGGAGCATCTGGTAGAGGAGGAAGAGGAGGAGACAGAGGGACCCAGACGCACCGTGGCAGTATGCTGTGGAGATGGAGGCAGGGAGTCCCTCGCATTCCTTGGCACAAATGGCCCATAGCATGCTCGGTTGCTTGCGTAGCGACAGCCGAATAATAACCATCAGACAGAGGGATGACTTTTGGCTGTCCACCTTGTTGGACCCCTCGCTACCGTTCAAAAATGGTGGCCTTTTTCACACCTGCTGAGAGGGAGGCCAAAATAAAGTACTATAAAAACCACCTATGTAGTCAGTTGGTCTCTGCCTTTGTGCGCCAACGTCCATCCTCAGACACTGTGGGCCCTGTGCGCTCGCGTTCCGCTGCCATGGCAGCAGGGGAGGGGTGGGGTGGTAGGAGCAGTGGCAGCTCCACCAGCAGCGGCTGCCTCAGTCTGCGGTCGATGATGAGTAGCTTTCTTCACCAGCGCAGTGAGGAAACTACTAACCAGCCGCAGCAGCAGCAGCATCAGGTGGACCTGGAGCAGGACCTCAAACAACAGGCTTGGGCCTACTTGGACAGCACCCTGCCAACCGAGGTAGACAATCCCCTTGACTACTGGGCAACGAAAACTTGACCTTTGGCCCCAACTAGCTGAATTTGCCCTTGAAAGGCTGTCATGCTCGGCCAGTAGCGTGGCATCGGAGCACGTGTTTAGTGCGGCAGGAGGTATTGTAACTCCGCGGAGGACACGACTGTCCACCCAAAAGTGTGGAGAGACTCACGTTTGTGAAAATGAATCAGGCGTGGATTAGTCTGGATTTCAAAACACCAGTTCCTGACACAACTGACTAAATCCGCCATGAATCATGCCCCAAACATGTGCCACTTTCAGGTCTCCTCACACTGCTGGTGGGTTCCATTTTGTCATAGGGTGCTGGCAGATTACCGGCCTCCCATTGCTGCTGCCAGGCCCGTAATCTGCCATGGGCCCTGTACCGCCTCCTCATGCTGCTGCCAGGTCCAGAGTGAGTCATGGGTCCCTGTACGGCCTCCCATTGCTGCTGTCTCCATCGCCACACTCTGCCATGTGCCACTTTCAGGTCTCCTCACACTGCTGGTGGGTTCCATTTTGTCATAGGGTGCTGTGTGGCCTCCCATTGCTGCTGCCAGGCCCGTAATCTGCCTTGGGCCCCCGTACCGACTCCTCATGCTGCTGCCAGGCCCGTAATCTGTCATGGGCCCCTGTACCGCCTCCTCATGCTGCTGCCAGGTCCAGAGTGTGTCATGGGTCCCTGTACGGCCTCCCATTGCTGCTGTCTCCATCGCCACACTCTGCCATGTGCCACTTTCAGGTCTCCTCACACTGCTGGTGGGTTCCATTTTTGTCATAGGGTGCTGTATGGCCTCCCATTGCTGCTGCCTCCACCGCCACACTGTGGCTCCACACTCTGGTTTTGGCCCCCCGTGACTGCCCAAATGAGTGAAGTGTGCGGTGATTCTAAGATCGACGGCACTCATCTGCATGTCATACTAACTGACAGTATTATTTCTCTTCCCCAGCAGACTCCAAGGGCATTTAAATTAAAGGTACAGTGTTCTGCACTAATATAAAGGCTCTCTGAAGCCTAGAAACACCCTTTTATAAGTTAAATTCGCAGCGAATATATTCGCCTCGAATCGAATTTATTCCTCGAATTCGCCGAATCAGTCGAATCGAATTTTTGAATACTTCGCTCATCTCTACTCTCTGCCCTCTCCTGAAGCACTCGAGGCCCACATCTCTCTTTCCAGTGAGGACTTAAAGATCAGGGGCAAGATTATCAGCCTTCGTATCAATAAGTATTTGCATTGTTTGGTCCATAGAGATCAGGTGGCCTTTGTTTCTGGACGGCGATAATGTCCATAAGGTGATCCATTTTATACATCTTTTACACCAGCGAAAGATCTCAGGTTTCCTGCTGTCCTTGGACATTTATAAAACCTTTGATTCTTTGTCCTCGGAATACCTACGATTTGTGCTCGCCCGTGGAGGCTTCAGGGACTCCAACTTGGCTTCAAGCTCTATACTCCTCTCCTTCAGCCTCGGTCAAGTATGTGGGGTATTTCTTCAATCCCTTTCCTGTCTGGAGGGGGATGAGGCAAGGATGCCCCTTGTCCCTGGCACTTTTTGTCCTTGCATTGAGCTGCTGGCCATGGCTCTATGTGCAGATCGCAATGTAACAGGTATCACTTATGCAGGCCAAGAGTTACTTTCCCTAAGTTACAAGTACTTGCTCACTGCTCTTCGATATCGGGTATCCGCATTAATTTGAATAAGACTGTTGCTCTCAATGTTACTTTGATACCAGACCTAGTCAATTTCCTACAGTCCCATTTCCCCTTCAAATGGGCTTCCTGCTCTCTTGAGTATCTGGGCATTCACCTGACTCCCTCCTATTCCTCTATTCGCTATGAACTATCACCCTCTGCTTCGTTCTTTGTCTTCCCTCATGCAATCCTGGCAGTTTCCACACATATCCTGGATAGGTCATATCCACTCAGTGAAAATGACTATTTTGCCCAAACTACTATATTATTTTTGTACCCTACCAGTACAGGTTCCACCGCATTCGTGGAGTACCTGAAGTGGTAACTGTTCTACAGGGCTGCTACGGCCATCTTTCAGGAACTGGCTCCTGAGATCCCTCTGGAACGTTTGGAATTTGATTGTATTCACAGAGCTCTAGCCCCCAAACCCATGGAGGGCCCCCCAAGGAACATTATTAATAAGTTCCACTATTAGCGCACTAAAGAACGCCTCTTGCAGGTGGCTCAAAACTGACCAACATTTGAATTCCAGGGTAACTCCCTTCAGCTGTTTGCTGATTTGTCTCCAGTCACAATAGCAAAATGCCGTACCCTGAGACCCTAACTACAAATTCTACAGTCAGCTGATGTCAAATATAGATGGGGGTTTCCATTTAAGCTCTCCTTCTCCTACCAAGGTCATCAGTTACAGGCTTCGTCTCCAGTGGATCTTCGTTGTCACTTCCAGGAACTGTAATTTGACTTGCCACCATCCCAGGCTGAGGAGGCCTCTATCTCTGCACTTTTGCAGGAATCTCAATCTTCACGCAATTCACCTCCCTTGAGTTAAAACAGCTCTCAAGCTCTTCAAACCCTTCAGGTTCAACGATTCCAGGAAGTCTCCGCGAGCTGATAATGTGTATCCTGCTTCATTTCCTACTTTTTTCCATTTTAGCAGCAAGGGCGACATTGCCCTTGATCGCTCTTTTTTGTTAATCTCCAGCTTCTATGTGGTCACGTGATATATTACCTCTTTTACTGGGGCCTAGGCCCTTGTGGACATGTTAGCTTTGCTTAACTTGTCCCCACTTCTCTTGCAGACGATGGGCGACACCTGAGGTGGATATTCTGCTATGGGCATGACCCTGCTTATTAGGCTGGACCCGAGAGCGGTCTCGCGCATATGGCTATCCTGGGTTTTTTTTCCTGCCTCTGTGTCGTTCGTTGACTGCAGTTCATATGGCCTTAGTCACCATCTGATGATTACTAGATAGTGGAGTAACTTAGTCTATGTTGTTTGCTGAATAATTTTATGTTTTAGTTAAGCCGAGTAGTCTGAAGGACCATTGTGTCCCCAATTGAGCTGGTGTGTGGATTGGCCCATTGTCCTACCCACTACCCAGCCTACATGTGGGTTTATCCCCCACAACTGGTTGTTATGCTATTTTTGCTGATCTTATTGTATCAAATGTATATTGCCTGCATATGAAATGGTTTTATGTCTTCTTCTTTCTTCCTTGCCTTTTTTTTCTTTTTCCTGGTCTGTTGTTCTGTGTACCTCGTGTTTTCTCCTTATTATTTCAGGTCTCCCAGGTATCGTGACAGAGGCTATCCTCTTCTTTTTTGGTTACCATGTCGCTGAATTGGTTATCCCTGAATGTTCAGGGTAAGAACTCCCCCCAAAAGAGAATGAAAATATTTAAGCTCCTCCGGGATCACCAAGTGGATATTGCTTGCCTACAGGAATCTCATTTTTCTGCTACTTCTAGCCCAAAGTATTTTGACCTCAGGTTTTTCAGGCTACTGGCCCTACAAAACAAAGGGGAGTCCTCATCGCTTTCCATAAGAAAACCCTATTTGTTTGTGTGAAGCGTATTGCGGACCCAAATGGTAGGTATCTTTTATTACAGGGTACAATTCAGGACGTAGACGTCACACTTTTGACTTATTATGCTCCCAATGTTAATCCTGGACCTTTCTTATCGCATGTCTTCTCCCTTTTGGCAGTTCACCAACGAGGCACTCTTCTGGTAGCGGGGGACTCTAAATTAGTTCTGAATCCTGTCCTTGATAAGTTTCCCCCAGAGGACTCTAATCCTTCCACTGAGCCAAATCTTTTGCTCAAACCTTACAGACTCATGATTTGGTAGACTTGTGGCGTGAGCCCCACCCTGGGGGGAAAGACTACACTTATTATCTGCTTTCTCCACTGTAAACTGTAACAACGCCTAGACTCCTGCTATCTTTGGGTACATGCTGCTGCTTTCTCCACTGTAAACTGCAACAACGCACAGACTCCTGTTAATTTCAGAACAAATAGTGCATATATATTTTGTCTATGTTGATTAGTTCTCACCTCTAGTTGCACTCTTTTTATGACTGTGGCCTGTGTCTGGTCTGTATTTGAGAAACGTCCCCCCCAATTCATGTGATCCTTATCAGTTCCTAATTGGGGCGGAGAAGAGTGCTCATTTGACCATCTGCCTATAAATTTAGATCAGCTCATTGGGGGGTGCTCACAGATCGGGGGGCATAGTCACAGATGGGGTGCTGTTTCTGCATGAGTGCTCCTGCTGACCCAAACACCAGGTCTGGAAGGCATGTACACTCGTGTACATCCCGCTCCCATGTGATTTATTTCACCCTTCTTCTCCTAACCTCTGGGGATATCTCCCCAAACCCCGGTCCTCCAGTATCTCACCCCCACACCAGGCATCCTCTTTGTTCCGGGAAATAGCCGCAATCTCCTCAATTTAATATCAGTCCCCGTGCTCCCAAAAACCACCCTCCCTTTTTCATGTGCGCTCTGGAATGCCCACTCTGCCTGTAATAAGCTCTGTCCATGACCTTTTTGTCTCCCTTAATCTACTAGCAATTACAGAAACCTGACTTCAAGCAGCAGATTCTGCTTCTCCTGCAGCACTTTCCTATGGAGGCCTTCTCTGGACCCACTCACCCAGACCCAGTGGTCGGAAAGGTGGTGGAGTTGGTTTGCTTCTATCCCCACTGAGCACCTTTCAAGTCCTCCCTAATCCTCCCTCTCTATCCTTCTCTTCTTTTGAGACTCACTGCATCTGGCTGTTTTCTCCCATTTCTCTGAGATTGCAGTGATCTATGGCCTCCTGGACCGGTGTCCCACTTTCTTGATGATTTCCGCTTGGCTACCCTAATTTCTCTCCTCTGAACTAACCGTTATCATTCTTGGAGATTTTAACATCCCTATTAATGTCAACAACCCGGCTACATCCCAACTCTTCAACTTAACCTCATCTTTTGCAATAGTGTAAGCTGTGTACCGGGGTGGGCTCCCCAGGATACAGTGAAGTCACGAATGAGGAAGGCAACCCCAACACCAGGTTTTGCCACAACAGAATTTTACTTAGATGTGGCAAATAAACACAACCACAAATGCTGGGAACATACAATAAATTTATATACACCCAGCCCAAAGGCTGAGACCCTTGTGCTGCACAGCACGGCGCCTTCTGATGGATGATGGTAGAAAGTGAAGTAATTTACCTACTGGCGGGCACAACTAAGCTGCCCACACCTTACCTGTTATAAAAGAGCAAGAATCAGTGTATGGGTGTACGGTATGGGCTAGCCTGCGGTGCAGCACAAACCGCTTACAATCTTACACAAATCTACAGTATTCCCCCTCCCATAACTGGTCCTGTAGCACGTGCCTGAGTATTCGTTCTGAGCAAAACGCCAATCTGGCTTGAGTTTGTGGGATTTTATCAGCTCTCTAATGTGAAATGTCACTTTAAGTTGTGGAGTCCTTCCAATGATCAGTAACAACACTTGCAGCCTGACACAGAGACCCTAACTAACTAACTATAGGCCTGTCTCAGTCTCTGGAGGGCGCCAACACTGAAATGAGGTGCGTGCACGATCTTACCGACCCGGGCCTAGCCTTGCATCCGCTGGTGACTCAGAACTGTCAAGGTCCTACCTTTTCCCAGAGTTGTGTTACTCCAATTGCTGGCATCCATCTTGGATTTCTGCAGAGCATGGTGGGAATTCTTTATGCCTTCAGGTCTCTGACGGTCCATCATCCCCCAGAGGGGTGTGGCTGATTACATAAGCTGTGGTCCCGCACATGCCCTTTGCACTTGTGTCTTGGTGTTTGCTATAACTCTGTTCTGACTCTCGTGACTCTCCTGGAATCTGACTCGGCTTGTGACTCGACCATTCTTTGTATTCTCCTTTGATCTGACCCCCTCCGTTGCTGAACCCGGCCTGTGACCTGTAATTCTCGTCTGCTGTCCTGTACCGTTTTGTCCCGTTGTTGTCGACCCAGCCCGCCTGACTACTCTATTGTC